TACTATAGACTATAGTTAAAGTATATTATTTTTTATACATTTTTATTTCGAAATATTTTTGAGGACCATGAAGATAGTTTACAAACTATTCTTGATGAGCTGATCGTCGTCCACTTGATCGAGTAGCCATCCACGCCGATGATAAGATATTGCGACTAAAGTACATAGTTGCTTGTAGTTTACCCCCTCTTAGAGCCATCCGCTCCCATTATAAAGCGAAGGTCAGAACTGTTGAGATCATACAATATCGAGTGCGTACCAAGTTTGGGCTGAATCAAAGGCTGTTGGCTGCCGCTAATCAATTTGGAAGTCAATGCGCAACTGACAGGTAAGCCAGAGAACTTTACTAAATATGCAATACCAAGGTTGGTCGAGGTGTCGGTTCAGAGAAAAAAAAAAAATTCTGTAAGGTTTATTGCTTCCTCAGTACCAAAGGTAGGGAAGTATTGTATTCGTGCGAGAGGTTAAAAAAAAATATGTGCTCAGAATCGAAAATTTCCACTCGCGTTTTATGTTTTAAACATCATGGATCAAATTTGGTTCGGTGTCTGTTTTTTTTTTTGTTTTTTTTTTTGTCCTCCCCTTCCTCGCGTTTAAAGCTATACGGCTATACGGGGGTTTTCCCGGGCCAGGGAATGTGGGCGATGATTTAAAAACTCCTCCGGGCACCGGGACACAAACTCGTGACTATTTTTTTTTATCAAAGTCTAATGTATCAGGTTGCCGGGCAACGGCGGTGCAGTGCACACGCGTTAGCCCATTCGGTCACCCCGCCCACCTCTGTCTGTCTGTCTGTAGTCAAATCGATGTGACGTTTATATCACCTAGTTCCGTTCATCCAATTTTCAGGGACAGTGCAGGTTGGTGTCTAGATGGTCCCATACCGATTTTACCGAATTCCATCCAGCACTCCCGCTTGAGCACGCGTAAATGTATTTTCATAGATATGCCAATATTTCATAAACGGCTCATTCGATTTCGCTCAAAATTGGATAAAATGTAAGTATTGGTGAAAAATAATGTATTGTAAATTTTATTGAATTATTTCCATTATTTTCTCTTATATATGCGCAAACATGTTTTCCTCGAAACAGATAATCAAGTATGGATGAATTTTATCAAATTCTATCCACTAATAAAAAAAAAAAAAAAAAAAAACACTTCCGCTTTCAGGTCAAGAAATTTATAATTTTATACGCCTGTAGTTTGAAAATTCGATATGACTCAAACTTGGAGGAAATGTGGAAATTAGCATACAAATTATCTGGCATCATCTTCATTGAATTCCATTTAATAATTAAAATGAATATAAATAATTGTTAACAATATAATGGCTGTGAAATGTGGAAGGCATTGATCATCTGGAGAGGGAGATAGGTTAACACAATATTTTTAATGGGTTATAAAATTTTAGGTTTGATTCAAAACGGTAATTTACACTGTATTTCTTTGGTCGATTCCAAACGTCCTGGCATAGCACTTCCTGCCGTTACTTACATTTCGTGTGATTTTTAATTTTCAGTAAATTTAAATTAATTTTTATTCTAAGTATGTATAAAAAAAAAATCTTGTTTGTGAAAGTGTTTATTACTATGGAAGTTCAATTAGCTCGTTGTGGTCTCGATTTCGTTCTTAAATATCAAAGTTGTGTTAACTTCACACATATTTTTATATTACAGTTAATTCCGAACAAACAAAAAGTTGAATTTTTCATGTAGAGTATATATCACAACTGATAGTGCGAAAGGTCCTATGTAAATATTTTCAACTTTTATTCTATTTGAGCGGACATTTTGTAGTCTGCAACTGATATAAGTAGTCTGCTATGATGAAAAATAGCAGAGAGCAATAAAGTATGAAATCATACTGATAAATCATAAAGAAATAATTAGTTCTTATGAACCGCTGTAAAATATGCAATTTATTTTGCACTAACAGTAGTGATATTAATGTTCAGTATGCACTGAACTTTTATTCTTTAAAATATTAAGGTAGGAGGATGAAATTATATTCTCGCTCCCTATCTATTTTTATTGGATGGGATGTGGCGATCGTCCCCCTCACTCCCCCTGTGGTGTTTCTCTTTAATTCTGTGTGATAACCAGCCCGTCATAATAAAGCTATCAGTTTGAATTAGCCATGATACCACAAATTCAGAAAGATAACGAATTGTTTACACAATATATTTTTTATCTTTATATTGAACTCTGGAGGTTCAATGAAAATTTCATTTTTAAATAAAGCTCTCAAACTACTTGTTAAAAATAAACAAGAGTCTTATCAAATCCGAAGGCTCGATGCTCATATCACCAGTGATCGCTACGTACCTCTATTTATTTTTAATAATACGGGTGTACAGAATTCGGAGGAAATAGGGCCGATGCCAATCTTTCGATCTTTGTTGTTCATGATTCTCTTTCTTATAAATCTTCATCTTACAACAATCACCCGGGAACTTGTCATTATTATTTCTTCATATTCCGGTCCTCTAATTCCATTAAATAATACCTATTCTTCTATTGAATGGTGAAGTGATTTATCACGATTAAGCCATGTGAGCTTTTATCTCACATAAGATAGATAGAAGGGTAGAATGATGGATATTCTGCTGGCTTCTTGGATTTGGGTATCATTTTAACAATGGGTTTTTCATTATAACTTTAAATACAAAATTTCTTAGAGATACAGGGTTTTGTTAAAGTGTACAAAGGATCAGTTTTTAGTAGCATTTACCATCTCCATTGTTTATATAGACTATATGATATACTGTTGTTATTCTTTTTTAGAATTTTTTCAAAAATATAAAGTCATCACAAAGTAAATGAATAGTCCATATGTGCTATGAAGGCCGACAACTTTCAAATACATAATCTGTTTTTATGAACTTTAGATCACTAGCGGATTCAGTAGGGAGGCGCGGGGGGGGGGGGCGCCCCCTCCCTGGAAGTTGGAAAAAACAAAATTGGGGTTCATTGATCGTAGAGATCGACCATATTACTTGATCAAATTATTAAGTTTAGGGTCGACTCTTTCGACGAACAATTTGAGGTTCTTTAATTTCTTAAAGAATACGTTTTTCGCTTTGACGCATGTTTAGTTGTAATACATGAAAAAAGAAATACGATAAATCTGGATTTTATGGCTGTAAATAGTTTACTCTCGGTGACCCCTGTTAGCAATTTTTTTTTACATGTCTAAACACATTCACAGGGTGTAAGTAGAGATAAATATTTAAAGGAATGATAGCAACTCAGGAAACACAAAACAATTTATACAAACAAAGGTTCAGTTTTCAGCGGGAAAGTGGGGAACTCTTGTGACTTTTTAAGTAAGTCACGTTTTTTAGTGAATAGGAAATGATAACTAAAAAACTATTTACTTTAAGTAATTAACGATTACTTCGCTGTAAACTAGATAAAATTTACTTTGAATAAAAAATAGAGTTTGCTTTTGTTAAAACCATTTAAACATGATTTTTGAGCAGCTATATGGTGGGGGAACGGGTAGGGGTGGGGAAAGGTGTGCCCCCCCTGAGAAAATTCCTGGATCGGTCATTGCTTCACATTATAATAAGATATATTTGTCTTGTTACCCACAGAACCATTAGGCCCCAACCTAAAGGCACATGCTAAAAAAGTTTGTTAACTTTTTATAATGAATTAAGAAAATTCTTATTCTTATGAATTAAGAGAATTCCTGTTCTAATTCTTATGAATTAAGAACATTCTTATCCTTATGAATTAAGAATATTCTTATTCTTATGAATTAATAAAATTCTTATTGTTATGAATTTAGAAAATTCTCTCTGAACAAGACACTGTGCTCCAGATTCTAGGTCTGAGTCTGACTGAGGTCCGATGATTATATCAGAAATTATTTAATCTGTTACTTCAGCCATGGACCTCCTCTGGGGTTGGTAGCTTCCCTGAGGCACATCTAGCCTCTATAAAAAAGATACCCTAAAATAAATTGGTAAAGGTTTTTTTGTTATTTCTTTTTATGCTGAAACAAGTCAAATCTATAACAAAATTAATTTCATTTGAAAAATTTCCTTTTAACTACGAGTTAATCCAAAGAGCCAGATTAAATGGAGGCCGTTTCAGCAGGATTCTTTTATAATGAGATCTAGAACAAAAGGCAATGTTTGCAAGAAGTAATTTAGAATTATTGATTTGTCATATTATGGAAGAAATTTGGAGTGAAGTTAACAAAGTTGACAATTACTGTATATACTGAAATTAAACATTGCTCAACTGGTACCAACCATAAATAGGTACAGTTCCTGCAAATATCAGAAAGAACTGTTGGAGAACCTCCTTGGAGTAGGTTGGCACTGGCTCAATTTCAAAATGCCTAATGACAATTCAATCCTGGCTTCCAAATCCAATTCATATAAAATTAAAAAATCTCTGATGACATTATCCTGAATGGATTAGAAGCTATAAATAAATATGAAATTTATTTTAGGTATTAAATATGAATTCAAAGCTGTTTAAGACTGGAGCATATTCTAAATTTATTATATCTATGGCTTCTGTGAATTGTGTGTTTAGGGCAAAAATCATATTTATTAAAAAATGCAATTGAAAGTTTGGAAATTTCATAGGTACAATTTCAGTTCATGATTCACAAAGAAATAATCATCTCTGTAATAACCACATAAGTTAGCCCATTTGACTTAGAGAATAGGAGACAAAATTATCTTCTGGAGATATCCATAAAAATTCACAAAATTGCACTTAACACACTATTCATAGGTGTCACAGATTTATTATCAACCTTTTCAATTATTTCACATACAAATAAGCATTTGAGTGCTTAAAATTAAGCCACAATTTCATTTTAGGATGATTGGAATAGCTATCCTCATTTTAGTCATAACAGTCTTTGCTTATGCTATCAGCTAGATTTAGTCCACAGATATATTATCAAACATTTCAATTATTTCACAAACAACTTAATATTTTGGTACTTTAAATTAAGCTCAATTTCATTTTAGGATGATTGGAATAGCTCTCCTCGTTTTAGCTATAACAGCATTGGCTTATGCCTTCAATTGGATTAAATATTGGACTAAATATTGGGAAAATAAAGGAGTGAAATGTCTTCCAGCTGTTCCTATCTTTGGCAATTGCTTACCAATGGTTTTAAATAAGAAAAATGTTAGTGAGATTTTGGAAGATATTTACAATGCATTTCCAGATGAACCCGTTGCTGGGTAAGTAAACATTTCATATTGATTTTTTATCAATTGTATACCATCTATGATTTGTTTCTTCACTGGCTGTCTTGATTCATATTTAGAATATTTACTAGATTTTTTTTTATAGAGTACTAAATTAGATTTTGAAAAAAAAAAAAATACCATTATTACAATAATTTGTATTCACTAGTTGATAAATTAATTTTTTCTTTAATGTTGGCTTTGAAGATATTATGAATTTCTGACACCACGGCTTCTTATTCGGGATAATGAATTGTCTCAAAAAATATTAGTAAAAGATTTTGGACATTTTGTTGACCATGGATTTGATGTTGACGAAAAAAAAAACCCTTTGGATAACCAACTTTTTGTGATGACTGGAAATAAATGGAGAGCATTCAGGTAATTTTAAAGTTCCGCTTCTTAAATGATGAAAAAAATATTTTGAATGTAATTTTTTTAATTTTTTGTTTACATATTTATTGAAAGATATTACAATCTGTCACAATTAAGGACATTTATAACAGTGTTCAAAGAACACATTCACAATAAATAAAGATAAATAATAATACTAACAGTAAATGTATATAAACTAAAATAAAATAAAATAAACAAAAGAAACTAAGCTAATGAAAATAATTACCCAAATACATACATGCTTATATATAATATCTATAAAAATTCATTAATTCAAGATCTCCAAGCCAAGCCTTTCTCTCCACTAGTGGAAGGAAAGGCAGGACTCAAGCAGATCTCAGTGCCACTACGGGTATTAAAGACCAGTAGAGGCTGAACAGAGGCGCTATAATCACATATACATGGCTTAAGTGGAGAATCTGGCGAGTGCCAAAATTCCCATATCTACTTATTCACAAAAGGTCTCTGGGCCATTACCCAGTCTCTGGGTCTCTGGGCCACTATCTAGTCTCTGGGTCTCTGGGCTTCAACTTTCGAGGAGGATTGTAGGGATGGTACTGAATAGGGATTGTGCAAGGAGATTTGGATGATAGGTAAGGTTCTGGGGAAATTTGGAGAATTTTTTGGGGATAAGGTCTAGAACAAATGGAATATTAAGGTCATGGTGAAGAGTTTTGTTGGTTACATGAAATGGAGCACCAACTATTGTTTGAAGGATTGAATGCATTTGATGTTAGAAAATTTTGCTGTCCCTCACAGTTCATGACTGTATGTCCATATAGGTTTCGGGATTGTCTTGTAGATTAGTAATTTGTTTTCAATAGAAAGTTTGGATTTAGTCTGTATAGTTTTCCGTATCGTCAATTGAGTTCTTGTCTTTCAAGTCTAGTATGTAGGCTCCATGTTAGTCTTTGGTCTAAAAGAAAGCCAAGATACCAGACTGTGTCCGAGAAAGGAAGCTGGATGGAGTTAAAGTGTACTCGTGGACAGGAATTGCGTCGGAGTGTAAAGGTAATATGTTGGCATTTGGATTCATTCACTTTAATGAACCAGTTATTACACTAGTGCTCAATCAAGGGGAAGTGCCTTTGCAGATTTGAGGATGCTATTTGGGGATCAGAGTCAGATGATAAGATTACGGTGTCATCAGCGAATGTTGCAAGGAAGTTATCGGGATAAATAGGAATGTCAGATGTAAAGTACGGGATCCAAGACGCTGCCTTGGGGAACTCCAGCTTTGACTGGATAGATATTGGAAAATATTGTTCCATAATGAACTCTAAAGGAGCGGTTAGAGAGGAAGGATCGGAGAACTAGGTACAAGGACTGAGGTAAATGGATTTTAAGCTTGAAGAGTAATCTACACAACGTGCAAATGCCTGTGCTATGTTCAGCAATGCACCCTAACAGTATTCCTCGTTTTCTAGGGCTGATGAAATATGATCAGCAACTCGGAGTCCTTGTTGATTTAAACAACAGATGTTTAAATGTAATTATTATTACTTTTATAATTAATTACAGTCTTAATGTACAGATTCTGATTAAAAATTTAATTCAAATTCTTTTTTACTGAATTAGTGGTAAATGACACAGTAAATCAAATCGATATTGTCCAATTTTATGTTCATGTATTGATGGTTAAATTTTATTAACATCTAGTATAGTATTTAGTATAGAATTTTCAGCTTAAATTTATTTTTTGAGATTGCAATTTTTTTAGCCTAAGAATGTGGGTGATCATTAGGGTTAAAAATTAAAAATTACATTAGAAACAGTAATGTCTTCTGTCTAGTATAGCATTAAGAATTGATGTTGTGATATAAAAAGTAGATGATAGGGGTGGAAGAGAGAAAGGAGAGGAGGTTATTTGGTAATTGTGCCCTGTCAACACCAAACACATTTATATTTTAAAAGTAGGAAGTTTTATGATCGTATTCTGCTAGTTTATCTTTTGAGGAATGATGAAAAAATAATATACTGCAATACATATAACTTGGCAATGGACAGACCACACCACAATTTGCTTTCCATTATATGTTGCATTCCATTAGCTATTAAATAAGCAATTAAAAAATGTTATATCAAAAACCACGAAACTTTTGTATTTAAGTGACATTTAAAATTAGAAAATAATTAAATATATGTATTCAAACTTTTAGGTGGCCTTAGGCCATTTTCAAGGGAAGAAATGTATTTTAATAATTGGAAATCATTATGGACTGAATTACCATTGTCAAATTCATTTAATTAGTCAAAAACTGGTTATTCTGATGGGGCAATTCAGTCCACAACGATTTTTAATTATTAAAATAGGTTTCTTCCCTTGAAAATGGCCTAAGGGGTGAAATGTTGATGTAAACAGATAAATAAAGTAAGACTATAATGATCATATATGTGGTTTTCGCAACTCTATATAAGAAATAGGTAGTTTTAGGGTTTTCTAAAGGAGATGAAGATAAAATTAAGCCCTACTGTTTCCTGTGTAAAGTTGTTGAAAAAATAAAATGTATTTTTTACTCTAAATAATTGACTCTTCACAATCTTTTTTTTTCACAGATATCACAAAACAAAATATTCCATTCCACAAAAGATTCATTGTAAAATATGTGAATGTATTCCATGAAACTTAATGACTAGTTGTTGATTCAACTTTTGCCAAAAATAGGATATTCCTTAGGACTTGACATATGTGGTATATACTGAATATTAGAAGAAAATCGGTTGGCTAACACTATCCTTACATTATTATTATTATTATTTGTTTCCTACGCTATTTTTTTTAAATTTCTGCCAAATTGTCACTTTTTTAATATTTTGAAATCAAAATATTAATATATTTATCACTATTTGATTTTTATGATATTTAATTTATCCGTTTAATGTGTATTTAAGTTTTTTGTATAATTTTTATTATTAATGATTCTATCGCTGATAATTTAACAGATTTAAAAAGGGTGGGATTAATAATAATATAAGGATAGTGGTAGCTAACAAGGAACCAAAGTTCAGTTATAGTTCAGGTCCAGTTTTAATAGGTAAAGTGTGCAGGGGGTGGGGTGGCTGAATGGGCTAAAGCGTGTGCACTGCACCGTGAGTTGCCTGGCAACCGGATATGAGATTTGAGAAGATTAAAAAAGTATGAGTTCGCATCCCGGTGCCAGAGGGGATTTTAAATTCCCCGCCCTCACCCTCCGGCCAAGGAAAATCCCGTATAGCCTAACAGGCGAGGTAGAGAAGAGCAATAAAAAAAAAAAAAAAAAAAAAAAAGGTAAAGTGTGCAGGAAACAGGAAGATATGTCTCTTAATAAATTATGACTTCTTTAAAATTAACTTGAAAGATGATTCATCTTTGGTATTTTAAAATGGCAAGGTACATATTATTATTATAATAAGAATATCATAAATTATCGTTAAAGTAGTTTCATTGTTTTCTAATTGTGGTAAAGTCTTAACTAAAGCTGCTGGAGTCTCTCCACTCCTAGGGTATGTGAGTCCCGTCAGCCTACTAGAGGCAACTCACACTGACCAGGCATAGGACTTATGAACCTACCCTGCATATTTAAATTGGGAATCGAGTTGTGGTTTACCAGGATGTTAATAGTCGTCCTGAGGTTCGGTCCATGGACGGTGTGATTTGGGGAAAGAAATATAGGTTCTCGTGCACCTGCTGGTTCCCAGGCTGCCGCTGCACCACGAAAACCATGGTTCATAGCAACCTATGGTTAGGTGACTCCCTCCAGGCTATCTGAGCTCCCGAAAGCAGCATACATCTGTAAGGAGGCCACATCTCGTGGCCAAAAATCTTCATGGTCTGTAGTGCAAATCGAAAAAAAAAAAAATTTTGGTAAAGAATGGTTCTGAAGATGATAATTGTTGCCCCAAAAGATCAATCAGCATGTATAATTAATTAATATATGAAGAAAGAAAGGAGGTTGATTGAAATGTCAAGGAGTTTAGATGGAACTAAATAATCTATAATATTAATTATTTAATTTGAATTTCTTACACAGGACTAAGATGGCCCCTTTATTTACATCTGGTAAACTAAGAACTATGTATGATGTTATGAATGAAGTTGGAAATGGTTTATTAGAATACATGGATAAAAATAAGGAGAATGATATTGATATTCGTGAAGTAATGGGCTTGTTTTCTATGGATATTATTGGGTAAGCATATAAGTAGCTAAGATTTTCTAACTATTTTATTTTATTTTCTTATTTGAATTCTAAGAATAATATACATAATCAAGATTCATACGTTTCTTTTTTTTTAGGATGAGTAATATCGTGCACCATCTGTGCATTTTCAAGTCCACCATCTAATTTATCATAATATGATAATATTTAATAGTACCAGAACATGTTAATATTCTGCTTCCATATTACTGTAAATTTTAATTTTTTGTTATTATTACAGTCTACACATTATTATTTTTAAATTGAACTTGTACAGTTTTTCGGATCTCCAAGAAGTATTTTTTTCAGTTTGGTCCTTTCTAAGTTGGGAGATGTTCTACCACTAACAGTTTTACTCCCATTTAACTAAGTTATATTCAATTCAGTAAATAAATATACTTTAATGGCTTTCTATGAATATACTTGTTCAAAATGTTGTTCATTTTGTTTATGAAGTATTTTGTATAATTTTTTTTTTATTAAATTCGTACAAGTGGTTTTCTTGCATTCTATCATAACTATATTATATTATATTATTTAAAATTAAAGTTTAAAATCTTGTTTATAATGTTTTTGTCTTAAAGTGAAATCTTGGATACGATCCAATGAGAAATGTATTTATGGCTAAAAGTAACATAAAATGTTCTTAATATTTCTTCTCATTTTTATTACAGGTCAGCAGCTTTTGGAATAAATCCAGGTGTGCTAAAAAATCCAGATTCAGAATTTAGAGTAAAAGGGAGACAAATTAGTGACCCTAATTGGAGAAATCTAATCAGGATTTGGTTTTTCTTTGCTTTCCCGAAAATGGCCAAAAAATTAGGTGTTTCATTTCAACCAAGCTCAGTTACAAGATATTTCCGCGACATTATTAGAAATGCTATTGATTATAGGAAAAAAAATGAAATTCAAAGAAATGACTTTATTCAAATGATGATGCAACTTAAGGAAAAAGGAAATATTGAACTTAAAACATTGGACGCCACTGATGATTACTTAAAAAATGAGCTGAATGAAGCCAGCACTGAAATATTTGGTTATTTTCTTTATATATGTATAATTGAAAATATTACAATACACAAACACATATAGTCTTTCATCATTTAAATTATTTTGTTTTTTAGAAATAACTGATGATGTCTTAATGGCTCAGGCCCAATCATTTTTGATTGCTGGATTTGAAGCGACAGCTCTTCTGTTAACATATGCGATGCTAGAAATTTGTCAAAAACCTGAAATTCAGGATACTTTAAGAAAGGAAGTATTGGAACAAGTTAAACTAAACGGCGGTCTCACATATGAATCATTAAGAAATATGAAGTATCTAGAGCAAGCCATTAAAGGTAAAATATTAAAAATCTGAGGAGTATCATATAAAAAACTGTAACATAGGCAAATCAGTCCAAATTATTTTAGTTTTAATAATAAGGTTTTTATTCCTTAAATCTCCTAAAGGGATGAAATGTTAATGAAAGAAAAAATAAAATAGAACATAAGGATCACTAAAGTAAATAGAAAATACTGTCCATGAACCATAGAAATTGGGAGTAGGCCTTAGGCTATCTCGATAAGCCGATGGAGAACAAAGGAAAGACCGAGATTGTAAAAAAAAATACATTTCATTTAAAACTGCTTGATTTTACACTGATATAATGAATTTAATCAAAATTGTTAAAGCCGTTATAGAGAAAATTGTAGAAATATGTTTAGTCCATGGTATAAAGTGCCAATTCTGGTTAGCCGATCTTGATGAAAAAGTTGCTATAACATCCCATGTATATAAAACAGCTTGTCCTTTTGAAACACACACACACACACAGACATACATACACAAACACACACACACACACACACACACACACACACACACACACACACACACACACACACACACACACACACACACACCCACACACCATTTTGCGGAACTTGGTTATTTCGACACAGGGGACCTCAAAACATGTATTTCTGCTGAAAACTCAGATCCAAAAATTTTCACAATCACAATACTGTCCCTTACTATATTTTTCATATATAGGTAAGTGAAAGTAAAAAGTAAGCTGTTATCCCTTACCTAAAGTCTTATTATGTATTTATCTATTTATGTTATAATTATTTTTTTTCATTACCACAATGATTTGCCTACAAAAGTAATTTATCGTTCTTTTCCAATTTTTGTTCTTTCTTAATTTATTGTTTGTAGCAGCTATTTTGCATTATTGTGACCTTATTGCTCATCTTGTTTCTTTAATATATCTTTAAAACTATGTAAATACTTCTCTTATCATTTATGTTTTTGTTATTTTTTTATTTTGATATGTATTTTGGCCAGATTTAATGTTAATTTTTATGATCAATATTGTAATTCTTAAGGGACTTTGCCGCAGAATAAAGTTCATTCTTCTATTCTATTATATTTTATATTTATAAAACTTCTACTAAAGTGCTAAATATCTCAGATCTTCAGTTACTTACGCTACTTTTGCATTCAAGTCTTACAGATATAATTATTATTTTTAAATTTGTTACTATTACTTCTAAATACTTTTTTTTTTTAGAAACTCAAAGGATTTACCCATTGGTACCTTTCCTTACAAGAGTATGCACCAAATCTTACACATTACCAAATGGGTTTACAATCGAAAAAGGAGAATATTTATACATTCCAGCGGCAGCAATCCATATGGATCCAACCTTTTATCCTGATCCAAAAACATTCAAGCCTGAAAGATTTGCAGAGCAGCCAAAACCTGGTACATTCCTTCCTTTTGGAGAAGGTCCGAGAATGTGTATAGGTGAGTAGATATTAAAGAGTTACCTGTTTAATTAATCTTCTGAGCAAACTTAAATGATTGTCCTCGTGGGTGTTGTGATGAGAATCTGTGACTATGTTGTAAGTTTTTTATCTTAGAAATTAAATGTATTTACTGCAAGCTCCATTGACACATCCTCCTTTCTTGACAAGTGATGAATAAGGCATTGTTGAAAATTTTCTGGTGTAATTATTTAAAAAAAAAGAGTGTATTTAGGATGTACTTCCATATTGTTTATATGGATCCAGTCCGACAGCAATGCTGGTCTTGTATCACCATTTATGATACCAGAAAAGGAGGAATTTACTTTTGAATGCTAAAGGTGTTGCCCGATAAGTAGTTTTGGCTGTAATTATTACTTTAATATTTTTGGAAAAACGTTCTGACAGAATGCAAACTTTTTCTGCTTCAGAACATTTCATCTTCATTTGAGAATGTAACAAGATTGCATTGCCCTGATTTGGAATTGTAGATGTTGCAAAGTTAGTAAGTCAAACAAGTCTATAATGTTATAAAAAATGGCATTAAACTTTTTAATTAATGTTAAATTTTCCGAACTGTGAACTGTTAAGTGTTACTGCAAACTGTGAAGTGTTACAATCTTCTATATAATCTGTTTTGGTATGTTGATTTAACTTTGATTTGATTTAACTTAATCAATAGTTAAGTATTGATCTGTGTTTTTTTTTTTTAAGATTACTGCTTGATTTTGTGATTTGTTTGAACTGACAGAGCTTCCTAATAAATCTTTGTTGAATTGTTTCTGTAAATCCAAATCTGAGCTGCTTTACTAGCAAAATACAGGTTTATGCTACAATAAAAAAAATTATTTTCACGATAATTAACAATCAAATCTTTACTATGGAATTATAACTTTATCTCCATCTGTGGTCTGGTAGATTTTCTTTTTCATGGCATAAAGAGTTCATTCACAATTAACCATAAACTTCAACCAACTGTTGAAAAAACAAGTTTCACAAAGTTTTCAAATTGGAAGTTATTTAATTTAAGTTTTATACAGCCAAATATTACTTCATGAAAATTATTAGGTAATTCATTTTGAGGTTCAAATTTTGGTAAACTAAAATTTTAAATTAAAATTTATTGCAGTAAAAATATAAAATGAGCAATTAATACAAACATGTTAAAAATGAGCAATTTTATGCAAAATAAAATATAAATATATTAACCAGGATAAGCCAGTGTGTGAAAATAATTAGTCCTTAATAGATTTAAAGCCAGTAGAAAAAAAGTGTGATTGCACAAGAATATAGGCTCTAATCTTAGATTTTATTTTTCATAAGAAATAATTCATACTTTCAATGGTAAATTAAGGAATTTCAGGCAAATTATAATGCAAGAGTTGCCTAAAAATGGAATTTTAATTACAAGATAAGCTTTGTTAAATTTGCTACAACACTTGGCTAAAAATGAACAAATATATTAGAGAATTTAAAAGAAGAAGTGTTTAAAAGAACTTGGTTCACAAGTACAGAACTTTGGAAAGAGGATTCATAAGGATTTCAATTTTGAATTAGTTTACCTTGTTTTAGCACTAAAACATAAGGGCAATAATTTATTATTAAAAATTATAAAAGTAATCATTTAAAAGTTGTGTGAAGTACATTTACAATTAATTCATTTATGTTTTATTTCAGCAATGAGATATGCATTACTTGTAGTAAAATATGGTCTTGCATTGTTTCTATTGAACTATCGAGCCAAGTTATCTCCTTCAACCAAACTTCCTGTTAAATTCCTTAGCAGAGCTTTTGGAAACATTCCAACTGAAAAAATACTATTTAATATTGAAAAAGTAAATTGAGAAATAAATGTATCTAAATTTAAATATGAACTAAACCAATATGCTAAAAATGCTATGTGTGTGTATTTTTTATTTGTTCTTCAAGAATAATGTTGATAAAACAAATATTGTTCAATTTTAACTGGAATTAAATTAAATTAATCTATGGATTATTGAAGTAGTAAGGATTAAGTTAAACTATGTTTTACTGCATCTCTAGGATGAATAAATTGTATATTATACAATGATATTGTAATTTAATTGGAATAATTTTATTCCAAATCAAGTTACTTATTGTTATTGTAGTTTATAGAACAAGATTGGTAGGTTTTGCTTACTTCAAAACAAGTGCAATTTACATTAAATTACCATTTTATCATTTGACATCATACAATTACCAAAATATGAAAAATTACATAAGATCAAGTATTATGCAAATTATTTTCCTACATTGGTATAATATATGCTGATTGCTATTGTAAATAATTGTTATGGAAAACGCATGTGATATTTCTGTAAGTATTGTATTGTTTAATGTAAATAAATAAAATTTTAAATATGTACAATACATGTATTATTACCCTTCTTATTTTAATTTTTTAAGTTAATACTTATTGTCCAATACTTTCTTAGAATACTGCACCCTAGAGTCTCCATGAGTTGCATACATCATTTATTTTATTTAGTATTTTAATCTTAACAAGAGGGATATTATCTCCAATTGTTGTTTTTAATATTCTTAAGGAAAGTCCCCAACTGCAGCGTAAAAGCAGTTACATTTTATCTAATATCATTGTTTTTTAAAAATCTATCTCTATAGATAGTAGCATACTATAAATACTGCATACTATTATCTTGATAGTACCATAGGTGATAGATGTTTATAGATAACCTTACGCAATATATTTTCATTTTTACAACTTATTACAAAAATATATTTTATTTATTGGTACAAAAATCAACAACAATAATAACAGTTGTTATTACCAAATGATTTTGGTCTATATTGATTCATAAAGCCTGGCATGCTATAAAATATTCCAATTATCAGATATCTTGCCTAAATTAAAGTTTTCTAAGCATTTTTGCCTTTTCTGACCATGTGTCTGAGACCAGGAGACAGGATTTTATTGTACATACTATTTATTGTTGTAATAAATTGGCCATTGTCTTACATTTATGAATTAAATGTTAGACAGATTTTTTCCATATATTTGTTTATTCACCCAGAGCTCCTAAACGGTGCATCTTAGAAAAAAATGTCTACACTTATCATTACAAATTAGGGGTCTCCAGACAGTCTGCATCTACCCCTATTGATAATCAGAGATAGAAGAGGAAGCAAGGTTAGAAATAAGAGGGTTGGGATGGTTATGAAGTTTATTATGGAAGGTTAGGTATCTGGATTGGGCCATATCAGAAACATTAAGTTCGTTATGGATTATTTTATTGATGACAAAGTAAGCAGCATTGTGAATTTTCTGAAGGATCTTGGATTGTAAGGATTGGATTCCTGAGGAATTTGATGGCTTTATGGTGCCCTAAATCTCAACATCATAAGTCCAAATAGGTCTTATTGTAGTCATGTATTTAGAATAGTGGATTTCGCTATGGAAAGGAACATGTCTGTCAGCAGTGCCTACTTCCCTTGTTGGAATATACACAAGGAGACTTGAGTAATTGACAAGCAACCAGATTGACCATGTGCTGATCAAGACAAGACCCAAAACGGACATAGCGGACCTAAGAAGCTTTCGTGGAGCTGTCTGTGGTTCAGACCATCATTTGGTGAAGGTGAAATACAGAAAAAATATTGCGATAAGAACCAGGGAAAGAGCTGAGAAACCTGCTCCATGATTTGCCGTTGAGCGTCTTAAAGAAAAAAATGTGAGGCAGAGGTTTGTAACCAATGTTACAGAGAAGCTCATCAATCACTAGAAAGTACATATCATCGACTCAAGGTGGACAAAGATGAAAGAAGCCCTTGCGACCGCAGCGGCAGAAGAGCTTGGTGAAGTCCAGAAACCAGCTCTGAAGAAATTACTGGTATGATGAAGAATGCAAGACTCATGTAGATGCAAGAAGGAGAATGCTTTAACAGCTTACCAGAGCTGCTGCCCAAGAATTTAAGGAAAAGAGAAAATAAACCAAAAAGACATGCCGTCAGAAGAAATGGTTATCTGACAAGAGAAAATTAGATCCAAACAAGAAAACTTCGATAAGCAGGACTCTAGGAGTTTCTTCAGAGGCGTAAGAGAAGTTAAGGAGGGATATAAACTATTCTTAATTTTGCTAAAGACAAGGAGGAGAACCTTGTGGTTATCAAGAAAGTAGTTATTGGCAGATGGGCGGAGCATTTCCGAGAACTGCTTAGCCGGGGCAGAGCAGAAAATTCATAAAGGCTTAAGGTGGTTAGGGATGAAATAGAAGTAGACCTTGACTCAGACGTCCTCCCTGACAAAGAGGAAATAATGGAAATTGTCCATGGTTTAGTCTTGGCGGAATAAATACCGCAGTCAAATCTCAAAATGTTAGATCTTCGGATCTCCACCCCTTAAGGGTGTGGATCAGCACGCAGATGAGTATATGCTTCATATACGCTATTGGTTCACCTTAATCTGCTCTTCTTATTTCACAATATCCATAAACCTTTTTCTTCTTCTCTTACTCCATGCAAATTGGATGCTGATCCGTCCTATATACTAAGTCAGTAGATTGATCCCTCCGTTAGTACTTCATCCACTCACAAGTTTGGAGTTTGATCCCTACGGTTGTGGTTACCATCCTTGCGGAATTTTAAGCTTGATCTCTTACACCGCTAACTGAGAGTGATTAGGTATTGATCCGCCTTTCACTTAAGGGCCATCCTTCTATTCATCTTCCTTCATCCAATCCGTCATCTTTACTCTCTATAATGAACACGCACTTTCGAGGCCTTCTGGTAACTGTGTACAATACCTTGGCAATTGGTAACTTGCATACTGCCTCTGCATGTATACCCTCGATAAGCTCAACACATCGCCCTTATCAAGATCGGACACTAAACGTAGACCAACACGGGTTCCCAGTATGCAGAAAATGCAAGTAGCTGGGATCCCTTATGACGGCAGACAATGAGGTAGGAGCTGAGATAGGAGATAAGAGATAAGAGCCAGAATTGCTTTGGGAAGCCGATGTTTTTATGCCTTATAGCGACTACTTAGGTTTCGAAGACTATCAAGGAATGCCAGATTGACAATTTATAAAACGATGATTCGTCCGGTAGTCAAATAAGGAAGTGAGACGTGAGTTATCTCAGCAAAACATGAGAGGGCTCTTGGAGTGAGGGAGCGTAAGATTCTTAGGCGGATTTACGGGCCTGTATGCGAAGAAGACGTTTGGAGGTCCCGATACAATCGGGAGTTGCGACAACTCTACAGGGACACATATCTCGTTAGTGTCATCAAGGCAAGACGCATAAGATGGTTAGGACATGTGGAAAGGATGGCAGCGGACCGAGTGCCGAGGAAAATATTATATGGGCGACCTGGAGGAGCAAGAAGGAGAGGAAAGCCCCCATTCCGTTGGCTGGAGGATGTTGAGGCGGATTTGATACAGCTTGGTGTCAGGTAGTGGAGGGCTGTCGCATTGGACCGCGACGAGTGGCGACGTATTGTTGAGAAGGCCAAGGTCCCAGCAGACTATAGCGCCGAGGAGTACGTAAGTAAGAAGTAGATGACTACAGTCTTTAAATTTCAGGAGCCTTTTAGTGGTCGTCCGTAGTGATTTGTTGGTAAGTGTAAGTTTTTCAGTAAAATTTAGTAAATTTTGAATTTTCTACTTTCTAATTTATGATTTTAGTTTGTTAGTCAGTTGGGTGTAATGCGCTTTATCTGTTGGGTATCTAGAGCTATGCCACTTCGATCTTGCTGTCCTTTTTTCCTTTAATAAGATACGAATATACTGTGGCAAGTTAGTCTTTTGTGAATTGGTAATCTTATTGATAAAGGTGTTATTATTTATACTGCCTGTTATTGATGCTGTAAGTTTTTCTATAGCACCATTAATGTCTTATTTTGTCATTACTGGAATTTTTAGGTCTGATTTGTTTTCAAATCATCACGAAATTTGTCTCAGTTTACTCGTTCTGTAATCAATTTAGGAGGTGGTGGTTTAGGAGAAAAGTTCGAATGTAGTGATAGCAGAACTGGACTACCGTCCGAAGAAAGGTCAACCAGGGATTCGCTTATGGTTTGGGAGGAAGAAATCTGGGAAGTGATAAATATATCCATGATATCAGGTTGTTTTTGAGAGATTTTGGCCATTAAGTAGGACCCATGGACGAGAGGATTGAATAACTTTTAGAAGATGAGACACGGGAAAGGTTGTTATCACAGGGGTTGGATGTTCGACAACCCCATCGTTGGTGTTTAGTATGGTAATCTCCTCCAGCAATAAAGCGCGATCCGAAGGATTGAAATAACATATCTCGGAGATTTTAAGAGAGATAATTACCAAGAGGACAGAGAATTACCAGTATACAGCTGAGAATGTGAGATGGAAAGGGCGAGTTGAAAGGATTACAGAAGTTGATTTAATAGCATGATGATATTAATAGGATGATATGTCAGATGGATGTTGGTTGTGAAGTGGATTTAGAATAGGTTTTTGTGGCGGGCAAGGAGTATTAACTGAGGGTGGAATATGTCGTTGTGTACGAGGTAGGTTTCAAAGGTACTTGCGCTGGTTTTTTTTTTTTTTTCTGGACATTAGAATGAGATGAGTGTGGATGCTGTGGCGGTAATTTGACTCGTAGGGATAGATTGATGAGGAAGAATTTGCTGAAGCAGAAGATGAGATTGAGGATTGGGAGTATGAGGTTTGGATTTGGAGGTCTGAGGCACCTGGTGTCTAGTCTTCTGCTTCTTTGTGGTGGTTTGGGTGTAAGTTTTGCTGGAGTCCTGATGAAAATCGACGATGTCAGTTGAAGTAGTCGGTTCTTGTTGGATGAAATGGGTAGATTTTTTTTGGCAACTCAGGGAAATTTAAAATATTTACAATTTCTGGTGGCTGGGTGTAAGTTTCTTGATTTAGTTTACCGCTCTTTAAGGCTATGTTCATCACTTATCATATCTTTGCTTATAATGTTTTTTGTAGACTATGCATCCTTTGAAGCTTGCAGGATGGTCTTCGCCATAGAGAGCACATTTAGGAGGCTGGTCTCAAGCGATCTGACAACTGTTAGATGCGTGTGGCCCAGACCATTTTACGCACCTCGCCTGATGATGGCAGTAGGTCTTTGTGTGCCCTAAGTCTTGACACGTGATGCATTGCAATATGACAGGTTTTTGTCTAGACTCTTCGAATTTGACTGTGGAATACACAAGTCTCTTAACTTGAAATATTTCAATGTTATTACAAGCAGACCCAAAATCAACGAAAACAGTGGCAATGAATATTTTTGCGTTGGATTTAGCACACATGTTATGCCTAACGTTATGTCATATGTCTCCCCGATCAGATTTGATAACGGATATGGGAGTGGTTGAGTGCAAGCCTCTCAATACCAACCGATATGCCTTTTCTTGTCTCAGTTGATAGTAACGAATTTTTTTATTTATTTCCTGAAATAATAATTTAGAAACTTTTTATTATTTATTTATTTATTTATTCATGATATTTACAACTGTATTAAAGAAATGCATCTAGTATATATAATTTATTGTTAAAAATAAAACAAACATATTTTTTGTTTCATATATCAAGGTTTTTGTTTTATTTATTTAAATCTAATGAATTTCATATGATGAAAAGTATTTATGATTCTGTAGTCTTCTTAAATATAAAATCGAATAAAAATAAAGAGCAAAAAAAGCACATAATAATATTTTCACAATCTTCACATATTTTTTTCACAATATAATTAATTAACTACATAAAAAGTCTACACAAAACATTATTCATTTGATATTAATCTAGTAAATAGAATATATTTCTTATATTTGAGTCATATCTATTATACTAAAATATAACTTTGCATTTTCACTAATTGGCGGCAAATATAGATTCTCTATGTAATTGTAACAGCAATGTGCAACCGCAACTGAAGTTAGAAATTATTATTTCTAACTAAGAACTTGTCTATCTGTGTTGTGGGCATAGAAATGTAGGAATAACATGCCCAGGCCACGAGGCACAAGAAATTCTCAAATATTGATTGTTTTAACCTGGAAATATTTCTGAAATTTCACTTGTGGAAGGAAAAGCAGGACTTCAAGTGGAGATTTAGCGAGAGTGGTGTAGCTACATACACTCTTGTCTTGAGTGGAGAATCTGACCAGTGCCAGTACTCCAATATAAATATTTTGCAAAAGGTGGCGTGGTCACTGCCGTTTCAATCTTCAATGAGTATTGAAGGGATGGGTTGTGCTGCAGAAGGATTGAGCAGGGGAATTTGGACGATACGTATGGTTTTGGTGAAATTAGAATGTTTCTGGAATATGGTCTATGTCAAATGGGATATTACGGTCGTAGTGTGAAGTTTTGTTTGTTACATAGAATGAGGCTAGTATTGTACGAAGATCTTTGGACTGGAAGGATAAGATGCGTCTGATAAAAAAAAAAAAAAATTGCAATCACCCATAGTTCTAGTCCATAGTACAGATGAATTTCAGTATTTCCTTGTAGATTGGTAGTAGGTTTCCAACTAAAAGTTGAGATTTTCTAACCAGAAGTCTGAATAGGTGGCCGTATCGTCGGCTACTTTCTTGTCCTTTGAGTTTATTATGTGAGCTCAATGTTAGTTCTTTCGTATAAGGGCAATACATAATACCGGACTGTGTCTGAGAAGGAAGGCAGTACAGAGTTAAAATGAATTGGGGGAGGGAGAGGTGACATATTTGCGTTAACATTCTTTTACTTTAATGAACCAATTATTACACCAATAATCAATCAGGGAGAGATGTCTTTGTAGATTCTAGGATGCTATTTGAGGATCTGAGTTGAACGATGGGATGGCGGTTTCATCAGCAAATGTTATCAGGAAGGTATCGGGACTGTTGTGGGCGGGGTGGCCGAATGGGTTAACGCGTTGCCCGGCAACCTGATTTATGACTTAATGATATAAAAATAGTCACAAGTTCGCGTCCCGGTGCCGGAGGAGTCTTTTAAATTCCCGCCCACACCCTCTGGCCCGGGAAAACCCCGTATAGCCTTAACAGCGAGGAAGGGGAAGACGCCCCCCAAAAAAAAGGTATCGGGATTGGCAGTGATATGAGCGGTAAAGACGATATAAAGATAGGAAGGGACTCAGAGCGCTATCTTGAGGAACACCGGTCTCAATTGGATATTAATAGAAATATTCTATACCACAGCAAATTCGAAAGTTGTGGTAAGATATTTAGGAACTGAGTATATATAAGAACTGGTATATTTATTTATTATGGTTTTAAGTTTGAAAAGCAGCCCGGTGTGCCATACGCAGTCAATGGGAAGTGCCATACGCAGTCAATCGATGGGAAGGAAGATTTTGAGATTTTATGAAGCCTATGATTGAAAAGAATTGGGAGTAGGTTGATAGGCCTATAAGATATAAAGCTGTTGGGAGGTTTACCTGATTTTGAAAACAGGATAATTGTGGAATGTTTCCATAAAAGAGGAAAGTGGTTGGTTCGTAGGATGCTATTGTATATGCAATTGAGGAATATGACAGTTTTGGGAGGAAATCGCCGAACGATCTGAGAGGTAAGAAGGTACCAAGGAGATCTTTTTTTTTTCAACCTATCTATCCATTTCTTACATACAGTTTCTTATAACTGATCATCTGCAGTATGATTGAGTAGCACATGCAAATATTGCTTCAGAAAATGTTCCTTCTAGCTTGTACCTCACACAGAACCATCCCCTCTAATTACAAACGTGAAGGTTAGGACCATTGAGAGCTATTTTCAGTGCCTAGTCAATTTTGAAGTCAACCCGATACTGACAGGTAACTTTACTAAATATACAATATCAACAAACAAGTGAAATGTTATTTTTTGGTGTCTTAAATGTTTAGTAAAAATTAGTAAAATAAATTTGGATCTATACTATATTGATTGGTCCAGGATTAATTAATTGGATTTCTTTTCTCAAAGGCTGGTTTGCGTTTATCATGCTTTCTAATTACCAACATTAACTGTGATCATCATGATATAAATCCGAGGTCATCTCGTCAAGCCCTGGTCCAAAATCTGCCAGGAAGAAATGAAGAAAATGAAGATGGGCCTCTTCATGGTCTATGTAGGACCAAGGCTTCAGTCCCCGAGTAGGAAGAAAACATCAGCCCTCTTTTCTCACTTCTCGGGAGATTTTATACAAATATTCAAGGTGGGGCAAGGATGGTTTTCATTGATTCTTAGTTTCACCTTATAACTTCACAATAACAGGTAATACCCTAAAAGGAACCAGTTACTTAATCCGTTACTAGCCACCAGTTACTTTGAGTAGAGGCCTTCCCTGGAGCCCCTTGTCCTTTACCTGATCTCCACACTTGATGCTGTTTTTGATGTCAGAAGTCCGTTTCATTCAACTTTGTCTTCCGCAGCTCATATTAAGTTTAAAAGGTTACTGCCTGCTATTTTCAATACATAGCACAAGATTGGTCGCGATGGCTGTCAAAGTAAATAAATGAAGAACTAATCAATTGTGTAAGTTATTCCAACATTCTATTGTTCTATAGTTTTTGTTTACATTTGTCTGTCACTCCTGCCATCAAATTCTCCATCAAATTTCGTATTGTTTTAATTAAAATTGAATTAAAAAATTTCTATTAATAACGGGAAGAAACTGTTGTTTCACAATCAATAATAACGATGATATATAATTCAATTTTATTTTCTGCAAATGTAAACATAGAGTCATAATGCTCAATGTCCTAGATTGTGGCAGATTGTATTATTTTTCTTCATTAAAAATTCTATTGAGTAAAAAAAAAAAATTTCTGAAGGATAGCCGCGTCCTCACAATTGAATACTGAATCTGCCACTAAGAAGCTTCGCCTATTGTGTATGTATAATAATATATCTGTGACATATGACAATGTTATATTATATACATAAAAATGATTTCATAATATAGTTTATATTTCGAATGTAATAGGAAGAAGCTATCTAATTCGAGACTTATCGAACAGATATATTTTCTCGCACATATTCAAAAAAGTAAGAAGTATCGTATCTAAGCATTATGAACTTGTTTGGCATTGGAAACACTGCCTGATTTTCGTCTGTAATTAGTTTAATGGAAAGTTTTATCAGATGAATCGAAAAACAACCCTTATGGGGGACGATCGATCAAGAGCTTATTTGTCAAACTCTTATGCTATCTAATCTATGATATGTAAAAATTTGATTTCACAAAAAAGGGGTAGACGATAACTAACCATCATTTAACGCCGTACATCGATTCCCTACTTACAATATAATAAAGAAGGTATGTTTTCAAAATTTCCCTGTTTTATTCATTAGATCAGCCTTTAAGACAAATTAATGTGGGTCACAGAATTAATATTTAATCGCAAAAAAATGAAATTAAAATTCAATTATGAGAAACTGCTACAATAAAAAAAAATTAATTTTGGAAATAATCGAAATAATATGTCTGATATTTTGTTAATTTGTACCTAAAATCATTGAAAATATCACTAATTAGACATCCAGACAAGTTACATTCACAGATTTTCGTCTTAAAATAATGGCGAAATTAATGAATTGGTTATATTTAACGGATTTCATATTTAATTCATATTTTCATTAACTTTACAAAACCCTCCGAGGCGTCTGAAAAGAAGATGGCCCCATGCTCTTCTAATGTAGACATTTTATTTGAATGCTACCAGTGGGTAGTTTCTCAACAAGTGTTTTCATGTCATCATATTTATTCATACACATTTACTAGTTATATTAAAAAACACAGTGGTAAATATCATGAGTAAATTTGAAAAAAAAAAACTTTATTAAAACAATACGCTTTATTTAAATAAGGTATTATGTATGTAGGATGCGTATAGTGAGTTCATAATAAAACTCAGAAGAAACAGGATCTATATTTTATATTAAATGGTTTTTTATTTCAAACAAAAATGTCTATATACCTCAAATCTCACACTTTCTTAAATCCGGACAATTGTTTTAGAAAAATTGCTTTTCCCACTGCTTGATATTTTGCCTCCTCGTAAAAACGTGGTTTGTTTAAAAGTCATCGATTCTAGAATCTTAAGGGATGGAATAAATTTGCCTCTTTTTTTTTTTTTTAAATAAAACTCTTTAATGAAGAACTAAGACAGATACCCTCTTCTATCCAATCTCAGCTGAACTGTAGTGGAAAATTCAACCTACCGCCATATTTGTAGTGTGGTTTACCACAAGGCTTCCACTGACAAAAACGAAGTATGATATCCACAGGCCATCGAAATGTGCTCCCCTTCAAAAAAACCAAAACCCCGTAAAAATGTAGTCCCCTTAAAAGTTTTAATGGCGTAACTGGTGCCATTCCTGGGAAGCCCTGAAAAGCTGAACTCGCTACTATTTGTAGTTTAATAGCGGTACTTGAAATCATTAAGGGAAATATACCGATAATAGACACTTTAAGAGCAATTGAACATTCAATACAAAAACATTCAAGGTGGGTCTTCGAAAATGGGTTCAATTTTCAGCAATTTTAATTCTTTTTTTTTTATTCTATTATTATCCTACCTCACTATAACTTATGTCCAAGTGACAGATCGTTGTTATACTGAATAAATAAATAAATTCACGAAAATCTTAGGAACTAAGAAATGGCAAAAGCTATTGATCAATGAATCCATATTTAAAACTAACTTTCTAAAGAAAAATGGAACGAAAACCTCCCTGAAACAAAGTCCCAGCCTTTCTCCTTAAAAGGTTAACTACCAATTGGTATGATATCAGGATCAGGCATCGTCCCTTTAAGTGTTTTAGCTTTAAATCTACTCATATTTGCGCTCTCTAAAGAGCATATATAAAGCTTATTGATTAATTATATATTGGTTAATTAATATATATATTATATTCAAATATTGGTTAATGAGTTGAAAACTGTCTATTATTGGTGTTGTGTCTATTACTTTTACAATTATGTAAAGGCTCCCTCAGAGAAACACGATATTGAACTTGTGACGCCATAGTCCAGGACCCCCATGCATAAAATCCATCTCATAAAACATACATCTGTAAATATTTTTAAAAAAATTATTATAAAAATTTTAAATTAATATTTAAATATTTGCATGTTAATTTTTTTTCAAGTTCAATATTGATAATTATTCACTTATTATCCTCCTCGACGTATCGAATTCCATGTCCTTTTCTTGGTAATTTTAGGTTTTATTTAATGTTTAGACTGAACTGCCAAGTTAGATTGCGAAGAACTTTAAAGATTAAGAAAAGCCTGTTATGTTTTGTCAGAGGCAATCCTCTATTCTTTTTTTAAACTCCTTCCCTACCTGTGGGCTGTTGTGATCTTGCATTTCTGAATTCAGTTCACACTTCTAATAGTTGTTTATCGAGAAGGAACCAATAATCAAGTGTTGTCAATGTTGATTACGTTGTTCGTTACCACTACGATAAATATTTAAGTATCCTAAATATGCGAAAAATTGACAAGGTGGAATCACAGCGATAACAAATTGCTTTGCGTTACTGGAAGCGTCTTTCACTAAAATGGGTGTTGTAAAATCTTTTCGAGTATTATGGAATTACTTTTATCAACAGAAATTGGGATAGGACCAAAAACGTACGTTGTCCACAGGATAGGCGCCCACACTTCGGAAATATAGGAGGGGAGGCGAAATTTAGTGTAACACGATAACAGTATATCAGACCTGACCTTGTTATAATGTAATATATTACTCCTCAAAAGTTTTTTTTTTGTCAGCCGTGCCTTTGTTAATCCTTCATCAAATCCAATGATTTAGCAAAATTGTCGAAGATTATATCATCGTGTGAAAATGAAGCCCACCTCCCAGAAAAATCAGGCAAAAAAGCTGTGAAGAAAAGGAAATTTCATTTGCTCATTTCGAAAAGTGTACAATTAATGGTAATGTATAGCACAGAGAGTTTAAAAGATGTCCTAATTGCTTAAGGAAAAACAAATTATCCAAATCGGACCATTTTTAGCAAAGGTAATGACAGCCAATTGTATTTCGTAAACATGTTTATCTCTATTATTTGGAACCATGGTACTCCGTAAAAAGCTGCCCATCTAAAAACAATTGATAGCACAACTTTTTTAATTTTTTTGTTTCCTCCCCTTCCTCGCCTTTATACACGGTGGACCAGACCCCCTTACCGTGCACCCTCCCCCCACATCCCTATAAATTGCATATTGGTCGTGTTCCTTGTAACTATTTATTAAAAAAAAGCCAATGTTCCCAAAAAAAAGTGAACGCACTGCCCCAAAATGGCGTCCAAAGATGGCGGATTGACGACTTTGACTTTAGTTAGTTTTTTGGTCACTGAGAATCAGCATTTGGCTTAATTTCCTCATAATTGGTCTTTTATTAAAGCTGAATAGTCATAGAATAATAAAACAGGAAGAAATATTAAAAAATAATTGGCTTAGGCTATGAAAAACACCAGTAAAATCAATTTTTTAACAAAAAAATTTTCAAGTACAAATCAAGCGTCGTTTGTAATTAAACGGTCTACAATAACGCAAAACGTGCTGAAATAAAACATCTGGATAATATATTCCTATTTCTAAAACGCTGATTATTTTTTAAAAAAATTTAAGCAGTTCCGTAGAAAATGCACATATGCGGCAGAAAAGCGGTACTGGCGTGGGTGCCTACAGGCCTCTACCACACCGTTCAGTACACATAAATGTGATATAATAACATTTTTGGTACATTATATTTGTTTTATTAACGAACAAATATTAATGCAATAATTTAATTGTAAAAAAAAATTAAAATTAAAAAAAAAAATTATTATTTTTTTATAAAATAAAATAATATATATCTAATCTGAACTATATATAATGAGTTTCTCAATCCATATCGCTCTGGAAATAGACGATATTTCTTATTCCAGCTTCTACGATTCTTGAGTATAATTTCTTTGGTACACTAAACAGGAATGGATCTTGGTGGGTATTACATTTCCTATTACCTCCTTTCTTGTAATGGTAAAAACCACAGTCCTTTCTTATCATTTTCTAATATACTGGTTGCCTATGTACGCGCAAAACTGTGCGAAGCAGTTCGGTTTCGCAGTTTCCATCTTTCTTTGTGCAGAGAGAATAATGCATTCAATATTAAAATTTCCTATTTTTTTATGATATGCTACAAATTCTGAACAATATATTCCGCAATTTCTGAACAATAACGAGCTATAACTAATATAAGGTTCCTTAAAAAATCGTTTGCAAATGCACTAAAAAGAAGGAGAGCTATGAGCTATAACTTTCTCGATATACCTCTCTATATCCTGCTTCAAAGTGAAGATAGTCCCGATGTGCACCTTCAGTGGCAATCGAAAATAATGTGGTTTTCACCATAATAAACCTACATCGTCCACTTAATATCATCAAACTGCAATTGAACCCCTTTTAGCAGTATCTTGAAATATTCTGTTCATCTGTCTAATATACATTCATTTAGCTATATAACGCCTATTCATCCCTTTTTTCCCAGTCCGCTGGTGTTCCTCAAGGTAGTATCCTAGGTCCTATCCTCTATACAGTTTATACAGCTGACATCCCAACCCATCCCAACACTGTCATCACCACATATGCCGATGACACATGTATCCTATCAGTAAACAATGACCCAGCAATTGCATCCCAAATGCTTCAATCACACATCATAAATCTAGAAGAATGGTGTCAAAACTGGAGAATTAAAATAAACTCCAATAAATCCCACCAAATTACCTTTACCCTTCGTCGTAAACCAACGACTTCCTGTCCTACAGTTTCCTTTAACAATACTCCACTTATCCCTGTTGAGCAAATCCGATACCTAGGACTCCACCTGGACAAACGACTAACTTGGAATCCTCATACTAGACTGAAACGACAAGAAACGTTTCCGATTACTTCAGCACTTACTAGACCAACGCTCTAAACTTCCCATTAATTACAAAAGACTCATATACTTGACTATAATAAGACCTATTTGGACTTACGGAGTTGAGCTATGGGGCTCCACTAAACCATCGAATTCCTCTCGCATCCAATCCTTACAATCCAAAATCCTTCGTAAAATCCTCAATGCTCCTTACTTTGTCACTAATAAAATTATCCATAAAGATCTTAATGTTCCTTAGGTTTCAGATCTGGCCCAATCCAGATACCTATCCTTCCATAATAAACTTCAGAATCATCCCAACCCTCTCGTTTCTAACCTTGCTTCCTCTTCAATTCCTGATAACCCTCCGAGGCGTCTGAAAAGAAGATGGCCCCGTGATCTC